AGTTTCCAAATGCTCAGTCCGCCCCTGATTCAAAATCACCCTGTCACTCAGTTTAAAAAAATAGCAGCAGAACTCTGTTAAATGACATGTTCCACACTTACTTTTAAGGCCCCTTTTACACTAGGCAGCTTCCACTACGATCAGCAGGGGATCAGCTTACAGATCTCCTGTTGATTGGAGCAGAGTGGGCAGATAACAAATCCGTGTCCGCACAATTTCTGCAGAGAGGATATGGACAGAGCCTGTTCTGCTCTATGGTCGGCCAGGAGTAAATGGACTCTGTTGTCTGTTATACCTGATAACCTTCTGATCTGCTCCGCCTAAACGGAAGTGGATGGATCCCCCTATGTTTGTTTTAGCAGAACTTATTGGACTCGGAGGTATGCAGGTGTATTGGACAAAAGTCAATTTACACCCCTCCTGTTCGGAACAGGCATCTGAAAGCGGCCGAGATTAATCTTTGCTCTCTTGCAGAACTACCGGCACTGCTGTCTGACACTTCAGGTTGTGTCAGATCGTGTTTTCCCTATTGGATGCTATAATTCCTCCTGCCAACCACTACATCACTGCATGATCATATGGTGCATATATTCAGAAAAACAGTACTGGCAATGGGTTGTGAAATCAACTATACAAAGGGGATGTTTTCTGACAAATATATAGAGATGGGATATTCCAACTAATAAACAGATTTAGTTTTCATTCAGTAAAGTTTTTTTTTTTTGCATAAAATGAATTGGGTGAAATCCCCTTCCACCAAGGTACTTTTTACATTCCGTTAGTTCAAAGAGCTACTGTAATGTGTAAAGTGAAAGTCTTAATGGAAAAAAGGCAACTTCAATAAGAAGAAACTTTTTAAAACCATAACAATCAACCAGTAGATCTCTGTCATCAAGCCAATGCAGTCGACTCAAGTGACTTATTCAATTTGGAGACTTAGGGCTCTGCTACAGTTGTGAGATCCTGTATAAAAAGCACATGTGATGGTCCATAATTACATGTGTATAGACACATACTGTATATCTGTATGTGTGAAAAACATGAAGAAACCCATAAAATTCTTCTTCCATTCTAGCTCTATGCAATTTGTACACATGTGTACTTTGCAATGTTTCGATGAGTACACACATAAATTATTGACTACGGTTGCAGATTACTCCTATTTTTTTTTATGAATTTTAGCACAGCGGAGGTTTAACAATCTTTATGCAGCTTTGTGCATAGACCCACAGACTACATTACACATGTGCTCAGTTCCATAAACAAAAATGCTATATTGAGAAGAACGGAGTGTTTTTTACATCTCTGTGCATGAAGTTCCAGTAAGTCTCCAGAGCCTCAACCAGCAACCTTTAGGGCCCATTCACACTAGAATGATGTGCGAGAAACCCGTGTTCTCTGCGAGTTTCCCATGCCATATTCAAATTGCACTGCCCTTGTGATCTGCAGTGGGCATCAGTGCAAAGTTAACGTCACCCCAAATGCAGGTTCTCAGCCTTCTGGGAACTGTGACGTGTCCCAGAAGGTTGCAGGCAGGGAGGGGGGTGGAGAAATTTCAGTGGATCCCTCACAGCGATCTGACCAAAAGTGGGTTTGGGTACCTGTCAAAACCAGGTACCCACTCCCCCCAAAAAAAATCGTTTGAGGTGGGGGGAGGAGGCAGAAAAGTGGAACTTTGCAGTTACAGAGGTCAAACGTTTCCTGTAGTTCTTGACCAGGTTTGCACACACTGCAACAGGGATTTTGGCCCACTCCTCCACACAGATCTCCTCTAGATCTGTCAGGTTTCGGGGCTGTCGCTGAGCAACACGGAGTTTCAACTCCCTACAAAGATGTTCTATTGGATTTAGGTCTGGAGACTGGCTAGGCCACTCCAGAACCTTGATATGCTTCTTACGGAGCCACTCCTTGGTTCTCCTGGCTGTGTGCTTCGGGTTGTTGTCATGTTGGAAGACCCAGCCATGACCCATCTTCAATGCTCTGACTGAGGGAAGGAGGTTGTTGCTCAAAATCTCACAATAAATGGTCCCATTCATCCTCTCCTTAATACAGTGCAGTTGTTTTGTCCCCTTCGCAGAAAAGCACCCCCAAAGCATGATGTTACCACCCCCATGCTTCACAGTAGGTGTTAGGGACCAGCCGGTGGTAGCCTCTAGCGTTCCACAGACCAGAATTCCCCAGGGCGCGGAATCTAAGTTCCGACCTGCTTCTTCACCAGAGCCCCTGATGGTGGGGATGGACTTGGAGCAAGCCGAGATCAGGTCGTGACCCCTGGGTGCAACCAGCTGTGGTAGAGGCACCTGTCGGTGGTACGCAGCAGGTGAGAGTCTGATGTGAGGAGGTAGAGTAAGCGAGGTCAGACAGGCCGGGTCGGTAACAGTGGAGCAGGTCGGTACAAAACAGCAGGCAGAAGAATAAACGGGTCACGGTCCAGGTTTGGCAACAGGAGATCAAAAGTGCAGGAGCAGGCAGGAGAATGGTCAGGCAAGCCAGGGGTCAGAGCAGGAGAAGTCAGCAGATCAGGATCAGGCAGGGTCAGCAGCAAAGTAAACTCACAGGAACACAGGAAAGACCATACGGCACTTGAGCATTGCAAGAGCTGGGTTTAAATAGCCCGCCCGACTCCTAACAGGCGCTCCTGGGTCCTAGTGCTTGCCCGGCGCCGTCATTGGTGACAGGCACGCCTGGGTCCTAGTGCCCGCCTGCCTGTACGTTTTGTCAGGACTCTACGCATGTGCGGATTCGATCGCCGCAGCGATCTTCCCATTCCCTGACAGTAGGGATGGTATTCTTGGGATGCACCTCATCCTTCTTTTTCCTCCAAACATGACGAGTGAAGTTTAGACCAAAAAGTTCTACTTTGGTCTCATCTGACCACATGACTTCTCCCATGCCTCCTCTGGATCATCCAGATGGTCATTGGCAAACTTCAGACGGGCCTGGACATGTGATGACTTGAGCAGGGGAACCTTCCGTGCAATGCATGATTTGAAACCATGACGGCGTAGTGTTCTACCGACAGTGACCTTTGAAACTGTGGTCCCAGCTCTCTTCATGTCATTGACCAGCTCCTCCTTTGTAGTTCTGGGCTGATTCCTCACCTTTCTTATCATCAGTGATACCCCACGAGGTGAGATCTTGCACGGAGCCCCAGTCCGAGGGAGACTGACAGTCGTCCTTAGCCTCTTTCATTTTCTAACAATTGCTCCAACAGTTGATCTATTTTCACCAAGCTGCTTGGCAATTGCCCAGTAGCCCTTTCCAGCCTTGTGGAGGTCCACAATTTTGTCTCTGGTGTCTTTTTACAGCTCTTTGGTCTTGCCCATGGTAGTAGTTGGCATCTGACTGACTGTGGGGTGGACAGGTGTCTTTAAAGAGCTCAGACAGATGCTACTAAGTTAGATTGAGTGGAGTATAGGTGGACTTTTTAAAGGCACAGTAACAGGTCTTTGAAAGCCAGAATTCTTGCTGTTTCTTAGGTGTTCAAATACTTATGTTCAGCAGTGCAAGAGAAATAAATTCTTTAAAAATCATACAATGTGATTTCCTGAATTTTTTTTAAAATTCTGTCTCTCAGAGTGGGAATGCACCTACAATGTGAATTTCAGACCCCTCCATGATTTCTAAGTGGGAGAACTTGCAAAATTGCAGGGTGTTCAAATACTTCTGTTCCTCACTGTGTATATATGCAGCCCTGTATAAACCAATTACCGCACACTCTCCTTGCATGCTCCCAGCACGGTAGCCGGTGGTGATTGGTAAGCTCCCGATGCATACATGATATTGGGAGCTTTCCAATCATGTGATCACCGTGACAGATAATCACAGCAGTCACATGACCCAAATGTCAGCCTCTGGGCATCTAGAAGCTATTAAAGGGCTGGGAAGCGTCGGTTCGAAAGGGTTAAAATAAAAAAGATGTTTTAAACTTACCTACTCTGTGCAAAGATTTTGTACAGAGCTGTCCTTCTTTTTTGGCAGTCCCCCACCGCCACTGTCAGCTCCTCCTTTCTGCTATGTAGGCACCTTTGCGCACGTGCTCCCGAAGCAGGCTGTGTATGTTCATAGACACAGTGCCATAAGCCACAACCTCTGCTCCCTGCTAGAAGAAGTTTTACTGATGGCAGCAGGGCCTATGGCTTCTGCTGCTCTAAGTGTCTCCTATGAGACCAGGAAATTAGAGGAGAGGTGCTGCAAGTGGGACAGTGCTGGATTGCTGAGAGGAGTCAGGCAAGTGTTTAGGGAAGGGGTGGGTAGGATAGATAGTGGGGAGTTTTTTTTTTGCCTTAAAAGAGAAGTCAAGGTTTTTTTTTTTCATAAGTCATACTTACCTAGGTGGATGCAGGATCAGTCCAATGCTGCATCTACCCACTGCCACTTTAAGGGTGAAAACTTTGCAATCAAAGGACGCTGATCGCTCAGTTCTCAGTGCTCTGTGAGCAGATAGCTGGCAACTTTTTAGTCACTGGCTCTCTGCTCTGTTTCCCCCATGTTCACTGGAGTGCACTGGGCTGTGGAGCGATGGAAGCTGCTGGCTCAGGTTCTCAGCGGATTGCTGAGAGGCTGAGCCAGGTAACGGTCCAGGGATCTGGGTAGATCTTTCCCCAGCCTGGAACGGCTGATTTACATCAGTCAACAGCAGACTTTAGCTGGCTGTCAGCTGAAAACGGGTCATAGGAGTGGAAAGCAAACTGCACTCCTGTATCCACATGTGAAGTACAGTCAAACAAGCTTTACATTTTGACTTTAGAACCACTTTAAAATGTCCAGGTTATAGATTTTTAATTTCTGTGGTAAACTAAGTATTATAACAAAAATATGAATGCAGAAGACAGTGTGGGGTAGGACACATGTTGGAGACATGTATTGAAATAACAATTAACTCTCATTTTAGGCAAATCTGGAGAACCCCCTCATGGAGAATTCCAGATAACAAATGCCATGCCATATCTGTACTTTAACAAGTCATCAAAAATTAAAGTTTTTTTTTTCATTTGTAGGTGATCATTCAAAGCAGTCTAGTTTTACCTATGACACTCCTTCAGGATTCTTCAGACAAACACGTGAAGGAAAAACATGATTTCACTCACAGACTATACAAAAGACAAGTATCCTGTAATGAGGGAGAATATCAAGGAGATAAACATTGTTGTAAAAATTGTAGAAAAGGTAAGTTTGACAAGAGGCAGTTTTCAACAGAACAGGTTGTTAAATCACTGCAATAGTTTTTGGTACAAATGGAAATTCTAACACTGCCCTAAGTGTCTTTAACACTAAATGGTACACTAACACTGACAGTTGTATCAAAGGCAAAACTTTTTTTTTTTTCATTTTGGATGGAGTAAAGGGAGGGTTATAATCCCTTCCAGTTTTTTTTTTTTCAATCTGTATCCCATTGGGGAGATTTCTCTTCACTTCCTGTCCCATAGCCAAAAAAAGGAAGTGAGTGTGAATCACTCCAAAGTGATGGAATTCCGGGCTGTCACCAGAACTAGCATCTCATAATAGATTTCTCCTCTATTTCTGTTGTGGAGACAACCCAAGGTTTTTTTTATTTCTTTTAGTTTCATTTTCAACAATAATGGTAAACAGTACAAATGAATGAATACCTAACGAATACCTAATACTTACCTTATCCCCCAGCAATTATCTTAAAACTTACACCTAAAAACTAATCTTAACTTTAACCCTAACAGTTGAACTAGACCCCATAATCCTAATATTAACTAGTGCTAATCAATTACACTAAAGAAACCCCTTTTTGTGGTATACTTACTGTATCTCACAGAAGTGAGTACACCTCTCACATTTTTGTAAATATTTTATTATATATTTTCAAGTGACAACACTGAAGAAATGACACTTTGCTACAGTGTAATGTAGTGAGTGTACAGGTTTATAACAGTGTAAATTTGCTGTCCCCTCAAAATGACTCAACACACAGCCATTAATGTCTAAACCGCTGGCAACAAAAGTGAGTACACCCCTAAGTGAAAATGTCCAAATTGGGCCCAATTAGCCATTTTCCCTCTCTGGAGTCATGTGACTCAGTGTTACAAGGTCTCAGGGGTGAATGGGGAGCAGGTGTGTTAAATTTGGTGTTATCGCTTTCACTCTCTCATACTGGTCACTGGAAGTTCAACATGGCACCTCATGGCAAAGAACTCTCTGAGGATCTGAAACAAAGAATTGTCGCTCTACATAAAGATGACCTAGGCTATAAGAAGATTGTCAAGACCCTGAAACTGAGCTGCAGCACTGTGGCCAAGATCATACAGCGGTTTAACAGGACAGGTTCCACTCAGAACAGGCCTCATCATGGTCAACCAAAGAAGTTGAGTGCACATGCTCAGCTGCTCAGCGTCATATCCAGAGGTTGTATTTGGGAAATAGACGTATGAGTGCTGTCAGCATTGCTGCAGAGGTTCAAGAGGTGGGGGGTCAGCCTGTCAGTGCTCAGACCATACGCCGCATACTGCATCAAATTGGTCTGCATGGCTGTCGTCCCAGAAGGAAGCCTCTTCTAAAGATTATGCACAAGAAAGCCCGCAAACAGTTTGCTGAAGACAAAAAGACTAAGGACATGGATTACTGGGACAAAATATTGACACTTTGAGCTCAATTTGGACATTTTTACTTAGGGGTGTACTCACTTTTGCTGCCAGCGGTTTAGACATTAATGGCTGTGTGTTGAGTTATTTTGAGGGGACAGCAAATTTACACTGTTATACAAGTTGTACACAGTGTTGTCACATAAAAAGATATAATAGAATATTTACAAAAATGTGAGGGGTGTACTCACTTCTGTGAGATACTGTACCTTATCCCTTGCCACAAGCTAACACAGCCTACTGTATCTCTAGGTACTGCAAAAGTATGAAAGTCTTGAAGTATAAGTTGTAGTGCCAAAAGTGAGACTGACTTCTCTTATCCACTTTCAAAGGAAGAAACGAGGCACAGCCTCCAACTATGTTGTACCATGACAGGAACTTATAAGATCCATATGGCGTCAGAATACCACCATCACCAGAACCTCAGGTGAAAACTCAATAGAAAGTAGGACCACAATGCATAAAAGAGGTCAAATTGCATTCAGAAACTATCTTCCAGGTTGGCGTATAAGGGTCTATGATCCTCCCTTTCAAAATGGTGGACATAGTGGAAAATACTCCTGGTCACAGCAAAATGTAAAGGAAAATTAAGCTTCAATGATACATTGCCTTTTTATTAAAACATTCAACAAAAAGCCGGCTAAACTCGCATAGGACACTGTTGGATCAATCCAGCCAAAAGCACGAGACCTCAGTGCACTAAGTTGCACTCAACACATTTCATCCTTTAGGGCATCATCTGAGGCTAGCATAATGGATACCAAAGCTCCATTAAAAAGTCACAAGGGGTCCACTATTATGTGCCACCCTCCAGACTGAAACAATTGGATCGGAATGATGGAGCCATATTACTGATTTATGGACTGATCCAACAGCATCCTATGTGAGTTTAGCTGCCTTTTATTCATGGTGTTAAATATTTTAAATAAAGGGTAATATACCAATGGAGTTTCATTTTCTTTTTGTTGTGACTGGGAATATTTTCCAGTATGTCCACCATTTTGGAATGGAAGATCTGAGACCTTTATACTCCAACCTGAAGGATAGTGTCAATGCGTATTGATCTCTTTTCTGTATTGCTATCCTAGTTTCCAGCGAGTTTTCTTCTGTGGTACTGGTGGCAGTGATATTCTTACTCCATACAGCTCTTTTAAGTTTCTCTCACAGTGGTACACAATTGGAAGTTGCTTCCTGTTTCTTCCATTTAAAGTGGATAGGAGAAGCCACAGGCGCACCTTTATCGCTGCAACTAATACGTTGCAGCGATAAAGGTATATACAGTCAGGTCCATAAATATTGGGACATCGACACAATTCTAACATTTTTGGCTCTATACACCACCACAATGGATTTGAAATAAAACGAACAAGATGTGCTTTAACTGCAGACTGTCAGTTTTAATTTGAGGGTATTTACATCCAAATCAAGTGAACAGCGTAGGAATTAGAACAGTTTGCGTATGTGCCTCCCACTTGTTAAGGGACCAAAAGTAATGGGACAGAATAATAATCATAAATCAAACTTTCACTTTTTAATACTTGGTTGCAAATCCTTTGCAGTCAATTACAGCCTGAAGTCTGGAACGCATAGACATCACCAGACGTTGGGTTTCATCCCTGGTGATGCTCTGTCAGGCCTCTACTGTAACTGTCTTCAGTTCCTGCTTGTTCTTGGGGCATTTTCCCTTCAGTTTTGTCTTCAGCAAGTGAAATGCATGCTCAATCGGATTCAGGTCAGGTGATTGACTTGGCCATTGCATAACATTCCACTTCTTTCCCTTAAAAAAAAAAAACTCTTTGGTTGCTTTTGCAGTATGCTTTGGGTCATTGTCCATCTGCACTGTGAAGCGGCGTCCAATGAGTTCTGAAGCATTTGGCTGAATATGAGCAGATAATATTGCCCGAAACACTTCAGAATTCATCCGGCTGCTTTTGTCAGCAGTCACATCATCAATAAATACAAGAGAACCAGTTCCATTGGCAGCCATACATGCCCACGCCATGACACTACCACCACCATGCTTCACTGATGAGGTGGTATGCTTAGGATCATGAGCAGTTCCTTTCCTTCTCCATACTCTTCTCTTCCCATCACTCTGGTACAAGTTGATCTCGGTCTCATCTGTCCATAGGATGTTGTTCCAGAACTGGGAAGGCTTTTTTAGATGTCGTTTGGCAAACTCTAATCTGGCCTTCCTGTTTTTGAGGCTCACCAATGGTTTACATCTTGTGGTGAACCCTCTGTATTCACTCTGGTGAAGTCTTCTCTTGATTGTTGACTTTGACACACATACACCTACCTCCTGGAGGGTGTTCTTGATCTGGCCAACTGTTGTGTGAAGGGTGTTTTCTTCACCAGGGAAAGAATTCTTCGGTCATCCACCACAGTTGTTGTTTTCCGTGGTCTTCCAGGACTTTTGGTGTTGCTGAGCTCACCGGTGCGTTCCTTCTTTTTAAGAATGTTCCAAACAGTTTGTTTTGGCCCACGCCTAATGTTTTTGCTATCTCTCTGATGGGTTTGTTTTGTTTTTTCAGCCTAATGAAGGCTTGCTTCACTGATAGTGACAGCTCTTTGGATCTCATCTTGAGAGTTGACAGCAACAGATTCCAAATGCAAATAGCACACTTGAAATGAACTCTTCACCTTTTATCTGCTCATTGAAATTGGGATAATGAGGGAATAACACACACCTGGCCATGGAACAGCTGAGAAGCCAATTGTCCCATTACTTTTGATCCCTTAACAAGTGGGAGGCACATATGCAAACTGTTGTAATTCCTACACCGTTCGCCTGATTTGGATGTAAATACCCTCAAATTAAAGCCGACAGTCTGCAGTTAAAGCACATCTTGTTCATTTCATTTCAAATCCATTGTGGTGGTGTATAGAGCCAAAAATTTTAGATTTGTGTCGATGTCCCAATATTTATGGACCTGACTGTATATGAACTATATATATTATTCTTTTTGTGGACTGCTTGAGTGAAATAGACTAAATGCTAGCATGGACTGTTAGAGGTTGATTTAGTAAAAGCTAATGAGCTGTTCATTTTGCATGGGATTTGCACTTTGAAGGGGCATTTCCCTTGGCTTAGTGAATGTGGGGAAGCTCTGCTGACTTTCATCATTCAATCATGTGAAAGCTAAAAATGCAGTTTAGTTTTTTTTCATTCCACTGATTGGGTGTTTTTTTTTGCAAAGTGCATATTCTCCTGCAAAGTGAACTGCCTATTTGCCTTTGGTAAACCAATCCCATAAGCTCTATCAAAGTCTGTGGTTAGAAACCCTGCTTGCTATGATGTCATTGGTCGAAAAAAGAGGCAGCTTGCTTTCAGGTCATGGCAAGGTTATGGCAGTGATGTAACAGTTACAAAGGAGTAAATTCCCTGTATACTGTAAGTCTACCAATGATGTTACAGTGTGTGGGTATTTCAATAACTGATGCACTTTTATGGGACTTTATAATTAGGTGCACTTACGTATTATGTACAGTATAAAACATTTGATATTTAAATTGTCTGAGTTTTTTTCATTGAATTACATATTGTATGATGCTTTA